GCGATTAAGCGATTTACATCTTTGAAGAGCCTCAATAGCTAGAATGATTCGCGCTTCTTGGGTTTGGATTTCCATTGGTAGTTATGGAGGAAATGCGTGTTGAAGTTCGTAGGTAGCTAAGTAGGGAAAAGTTCACGACTCGGTGACATTCACGACTCAGTGTACAACCACGTTAGTAAATGATGACGATAATAAGTATGTCACCTATAATATAGGGGTATTTGAAAACTCTACTTTAATAGTACTATTAACAATTCAACCTCAATGCCTTTAACAAATGCAGAGTCGAGCGCCTTATCACTCACTTATCACTCATTGATAGTGATGTTTTTCAAGACGATACTAAATTGTCACTCTCCTCACAACTAGATTCTAATAATACTATAGTACTGTTAGTTACATCAAAATCAGGGTGTCATAAACGAACTTCATGGATTTGGCAACATGATAGGAATCCTTTAGCAACATACCAACAAAATGGGCACTTAATGTGGCAATGTTTGTACAAAGCAGTATAGAGAATCAGGTGTGTCATACTGACATTCGTTGTACTCAGTTTGCTATCAAACTCAAGAGCAAACTTAGAAATCTCCTCCTCAAACCTACAAGTCACTATACATATTTTGGCTTGTCACACCAACAACAAAAGCAATACTACTCAACGATTGCTACAACCCTCTATGATTCATTACATGTCATTGCTCCTTATTACTGGGCCGATATGACCACATAGCATATCTCTACAACCCTCTATGATTCATTACATGACATCACTACTTAGTTACTGGGCTAATACTACACATGACATATCTCTACCAACTAGAGGCCTAGGAACATGAACGATAGCTCCAAAAGCTTCTACAACCCTCTATGATTCATTATACATCATCGCTCCTTAGTTACCCACAAAGATTGGTTAAGTTATGACATAATTTGTCTATAGGGATACTCTGACCTTGGACCTCCTTTCACTTCCTATAGGCTAAAAACCTAAGAGATGGTTCTATGGGATTCTCTTACGTCGACTACAGTTACCAAGCCTGGTTAGTCATGGAAAGTCTTGGAAAATGAGAGAACTACACTCCTTTAGCATAAATAGGATTGACCTTTCCTTAAGAAAGGGCAAGCAGACAATACAGTAAATCGACTATCACATACTTCTACGTCTTTTCCAAGCTTCCAAGCATTGATCTTGTTACTCCTTGTTTCTGAAAAGTCAGTGAGGTGCTAACCTCTGACTTATCCCTGAGTTCTCAGACTCAACATTTGTTACAACTTGTCTAAACCACTCCACTACATCATACACCTGATTGCTGCATTGTGGAATAGTCTAAGCTACAACCCTTTGGCTCTGTTTCCTAAGACAGTGTGTTGTCTTAGTAAAATCATCCCTTTCCTTGGGTGGCTAAATTCTCACATCTGGTGCACCCACCATTACACAGCACTAGAAAGAAGCTCAGAGATCTTAGAATCGTGAAACCTAGTGACAAATGCACTAAGATAGGCAAAGGCATATCGAAAGCTTAACAGATGCTCAAGCTCTCGAAACCTTCTAGTTCTCTTATGATGATATTCACTAGCTTGCCCCTCTCCTCTGACTCTATAACGTCTCCTAGTTAAGAGGCGTATAGCCAACTCTAAAGTTGGCCCTCTACGTCCTCTATACACAGCTTGCCTTTCCTAGGAGATGGTCGACTGTCGAGAGGCTCTTTGTGTTACGATGGTCACGGAGGTCATGATGCCAGTCGAAGTAAGCTAGATTGAATCTAAAGAGAGAAGAAGAAGAAAGGAAGGAAGGAGGTGAGGCTATTCCTCATTATATGCAGCTGTGCGCTTATCAATCCCTTGTAACCTTAGTGGTACTATAGCTGCCTGTTCCCATAGTTGCTAGCGGCTGTGATCTGTGATCGTAACAAGAAGAGACTAAGCCAGCTAAGTACAAGTGGATCCTCCCATCTAATGACAGATTGTTGCTGTTGTCCCTAACTAAGGAATCTAAGGAGCTTCTCTCCTAGTTCTACAATATGTAGATCAAGTGCTGCTTTAGAATATACTAGATAGCCTAATGCACTACTTTCTATACTACAAGCCCTCATTGAAGTAAGTTATATACTTCAGATTGTGTCACGTGGTTAATATGGCCCGTATACGGCCAGTATACGGGCTCCGTATCGTATTAACTAGTGCTAGTGCCTATTAAGTTGAACCCGTATCGTATACGCACTGGTTACAAAAATCAGTGTTGCCCGAGTAGTACTTGCCGTGAGTAGTACTCGCCGAGTACCCGAGTACTACTCCGAGTACTCCGAGTACTGCCAAGCCCTTGGCAAAGAGGGGTAATATAGATTGTAGAATAGAATAGATAATTGAAGCTTTCTTCCACTTGAGCGTTCTGTATTGCTTCCTACAATGAGTGACTCTTCGCTATCGCTGGTTCCGGCTGAGTATCAGTCTGATGCTTTAGAGCTGCCGCCCCTTATTCCGATGCTATGCCGCATATGCCTCTAAGACTTCAATTACCTGAGTCTACGTCAATCCTCTTTTTAAAAGGGCTATTCTACCGTACTTTATTAGATACAATACCTGCTAGAGTCCAATACCAATGCCTTCAAACCGATTGTAACTATATGCCGAGCCAGCCACTAAAGAGCCAGACAACGAGTAATCTTTGGAAGCATCTTAAAAAGATGCACCCATCTGTGTATACAGAATATGAGAAGCTATCCTCCTCAATTAGAAGCTCGTCAACGCCATCTACTTCTGCTTCTGCTTCTGCTTCTACTTCTACTTCTGCTTTTTTCCAGCCCCGCCAAGCACCTAATAACGCACCAAGCTCGTCGTAATATAGAGAGCTTATACTCTCTCTTGTGGTATCAAATAACCTACCGCTACGCCTTGTGGAAAGCCACTCATTCCGGCAATTAATTCATCATCTAAACCCTACTGTTTTAACAGTAGGTAGAACTACAATCGGACGGGATCTATATCGTCTATTCTGCTATCATAAAGCACGGCTTCAAGTAGAGCTACAGCAGCATGTTATAAATGGTGGACGACTATCCATAACAACTGATACTTGGTCTGCTCGGAACTACTCTGAATACGCAGCAGTTACTGTACACTGGATAAATGACAATTGGCAAATGAGAACTACGATACTTGACGTTATACACCTTCAAGAGCCGATCCACTCTGGTGAATACCTTGCTGAACAGATGATGAGTGTAACAGATGATTATAATATCACGCCTGCTATCTTCACAGTTACAAGAGATAATGCGTCATCGAATACAACAATGCTATTAGAGTATGACAGACTGGCATCGATAGCCCCTACTTCCTTGAAACAACCATGGGCTTTTACAGCAAAAGCAGGAGACGTACGCTGTATTGGGCATATTATCAACATTGCTGCTCAAGCTGCTTTAGCTTCCTTAAAGGCAACGCCTGACGAAAGGGTAGAGGCATACCGGCTTGAGGTTGGGGCTGCACGAATACCAAGTGGAATATCAACTGCTGCTGAATACGAAATTATAACTGTTCTTGCAAAGCTACGGCGTCATATATATGTGTTTCGGAACCGCTGTGGGTGGAAAGATGCCTTGAAGAGTCAGTGTAAAGCTATAGGTATTCAAGTCCGTCAGTTAACACTTGATATGCCAGTCCGCTGGAGCTCAACTTATCAAATGATCGATATAGCTTAAAGCTTCAGGCTCCGATTACAGCTTTATGTGCATCACAGCAACTTGATATTAGTATGAGGAATATTGCTTTAACAGCAATAGATTGGGCTACGTTACATGACTTATTGAAGCTATTCCATATCTTCGTCCGCCCAACCGAGAAGCTACAGGGCTCTTCTTACCCAACTCTCAACTACGCTGTTCCGCAGTATATGAGAATGATTAAGAAGCTTGAAGATATAAGAAGTGAGCTACCAGAACAGAGCCCAATTGCTACTGCTTCTTTAATTGCATTAAAGAAGCTTAATGATTACTATACTCTAGCTACAAATCAGCAACAGAGTCACTCTACAATTGCTACAATTTGTGATCCTCGGTATAACTTCCAATATTATATGGAAAGACAGCACGCACTCAACTAGGAAGAATAGGGCAAAAGCACAGTGGCAGGACTGCTTCTATCGATATTCAGGCCGCGAGTCTGATATTCAAGCGGCAAACGTTATTAATAGTATTGAAGCTGAGGATGAGGATCTAGATACAGAGCAAGCTATGAATATTGATATAGACTCAGAAGATGAGCTATACGTATCACAAAGCTGCCACGATATTAAGCCAGAATGGAAGCGATGGATGAAGGAGCCAACAGTTGGTAGGAATACAGATATTCTCAAGTATTGGCAGAGTAAGCAATACCAATATCCATTGATTGCTTCTATTGCGAAGGATCACCTAGCTATTCCAGCTACCTCAGCAGACTCAGAACGAGTATTTAGTGTTGGCGGTGATATTATCACAAAGAAACGGAACCGATTGTCGCCTTCTACACTTAGATATCTGCTTTGCTTACGGAATTGGGGTGTTTTATCACAAGGCGACGACGAAGACAGCGGCGACGATACAGACAATAAGAGTTAGAATAGTATATATATATTTCAATTTTTACTTCTATTTCTATTTATATGCGAGTACTACTCGGGTATTCGAGTACCGGTACTCGAATACCGGTACTCGGAGCGGTACTCGGGCAACACTGACAAAAATGAACCCGTATACGGGCCGTATAATACTATCTAATACATGATTTGAACTGATGTGACGATGAACTATTAGCAACACTATGACTAATAGCAACTATAGTAATAGGGACGCGTAATAGTAACGATGCTAATAGGGACTTATAATAGTAATGATGGTAATAGGGACGCGTAATAGCAACTATGTCCGGTTAGTAGTATAAGTTTTCTTACTACCTACTACTCTATATAATTCTTTAACTCATAGTCATAGGTATCACGATCTACTTTGTTCCATTCGTAAGAAAAGCAGTATCATAGTTAGAAACTAGCTAATAAAAGTAATAGCACAAAATTTAAGCCGTTAAAACGGTCTCATAGTAACTCGTTTACCCAACTATTTCTTAGCACGATCACCATAGGCCTTCGTCGCATAATCTCCCTTGTGCACGATGAGATCCTCTGGCCTGTAATCCTCGCGGCCACTAAGGTAGCTGTCTAGGATAGCCTTCGTGCCATCCGCATACCGCTTCTGCGCGTCGATGCTGGTGCCGCTCATGTGTGGCACCATCGCATTACCCCCGCCCCATGGGTTCTGTGCGTAGCGCAAGGGGTGGTCCTTTGGCGCTGGCTGTGGGAACCACACATCACCACCATAGCCACGTAGGTGTCCAGATTTGAGAGCCTCGGCCACGTCCTCCTTGACGACGATAGCTCCACGAGCGGTGTTCACGAGCCATGCGCCAGGCTTCATCTTCGAGATGAGCTCCTTGTTGAAGAGCCCGCGTGTCTTCTCGTGCAATGGGCAGTTGATGGTCACGACGTCACATTGGGCAAGCATCTCCTCCAAGTTCTCCACGCGACGACACCCAATCTCTTTCTCCACTTCAGGAGACAGAGGCTGGTAGTCGAAGTACAGAAGTTCCTTGCAGTCGAATGCCTTGAGGCGCTTTAGGACGCGCTGACCAATACGGCCGACAGCAACTGTGCCAACGACTTTGTTCTCGAGGTCGTACTCATTCTTTGCAACGGCAGCGATATTCCAGTCACCAGCTGCGACCTGCTCATGGGCGGGTACAAAGTTGCGCACGAGAACGAGGATGGTCATGATAACGTGCTCAGCAACGGAGACAACGTTAGAGCCAGTCACCTCGGCGACGGTGATACCGCCGTTGGTTTCGTTGGCGGCATTGAGGTCGACGTGGTCAGAGCCAATACCGGCAGTGATGGCAAGCTTGAGTTTCTTCGCGTTTTGGAGACGCTCCTTGGTGAGGTAGCCCGGGTGGAAACTGTAGTATGTTCGTTAGCTGCTCATGCACCATTAGGTGAGCATAGGACAGAAAACATACGGGGTGGTAATGATGACTTCAGCGTCAACGAGCTCCTGGTCGAACTTGGAGTTGGGGTCGTCCTTGTCGGAGGTTGTGACGAGAGTGTGGCCGGCATCCTCGAGCCATTTGCGGATTCCAAGCTCGTTCTCGGTAGTGCCTTGCGAGAAGTTAGAATGCGACTGTGCCCCGTGCGTGCTGTCTTGTAAACCTTACCTAAGAGATCGGGGAAATCTTCGGCATGCTTGCCTCCTGTGGGCGCATTAGTATTCTTCTATGTTTTGAAGAAATGAGATAAGGTTGTAACAAACCATCGTACAGAACCAGGAGTACCTTGACCTGTTCACAGTAGGCACAGTCAGCACTCTGATACACCGGGCCGCTAAGTGTGTATATATGCCTGCATATATATGCGAAAGAGTGAGTAATTACCATTGTGGGATTAAGCCTTCAAAGCTATTGTAGTATCGGAATAATTTGTATGCTTCTTGAGCCTGAGGGGTAGTGCGGGGTAAGGTGAGACCTGTGTGGAACAAGGGTGTTTGTTACCTACTAGGCTGATTGTCAGTGTATTACCTAAACGGAATGGATTGACTGATTGATTCTCTGAAATGCCAGCCAGTTGCGTTGTGATGTGTTGGTGGGATATGTATGGCGTGGTGGTTCTTGTAGAACTACAGCCCATCACAGTTAGGGTGAACTGTAGCTGGCGGAACCCGAGGCGAGAGGAGAAGAGCAGGAATGGATATGACTAGTAGCTACTTACTGATATTCCAGATATCTCTGTTTCTTTGGTCTGATTTGCAGTGGGAGTGTTGAATGTTTGTGATGTGAGAGAGGAAGAAGTTCGAATGGGGGGGCATCCGTCTTTATACACCTCACCGTGTCCCATCCGCTTTCCGCTTTCCCCTCCGTTGTGATACGTACCTGCCCGTCCTGGCTCTACGAATCCATCTACAACTGGTACACGAAACGCACAATCTGTCATAAAAAGTGCCGCCCTTTCCTCAGAATTGTGGTGCTATAGGTGGGTTGTCGTGGGTTGTGCATGGCACCTTCTAATCACTGCGTACCCCCTACCCCTCTCCTCATTAATTCGAGTAAGCCGCTGTCGCCGTCCGTATCAGAAAGATCCTGTCCCGTTGAATCATCTAGAGTACGAATAACCAAACAGCTCGGCCAATAACCATCTACCAGAAGATCTCGGAGCAGGAACCACCGGCAACTGAATAATCCTACCAAACTCCAAAATCCAAAATCCAAATCCCCCACGAGACGATCAACCAAACTCGATCTGCACCATCTGCACCCACCAAGGCGTCGTCGCACGCAGCCCCGCTCGCCGACATCCAGTGGCGCCAGCTCACAAGCTCCGGCCGCTCTTACCCCACACTTTGTCAGCCCAGTCGATCGCTCTTAGCGCAGTCTAGACGATCCAGTTTCCGGCCAACCGAGACGCTAGTTCAATGTCCGCGTCGGCCCAAGATCTAGGTACCGAGTTGGCTGGCTGTAGTTACGGAATGCAGCGGCAGCATACGCACGGTTCTGAGGCGGCGATAGAATAGCGTCGTTCGGTGGGACGGTAAGTGGGAATTCCCTTATCTGACGATCTAGTGGGATGCGTGCTGAATCCAAAAAGCGCTCTCAATCGGCTTCCGCTCTTGCAGTGTATGGCATCAGATCAAATATCCCCTCTTGACTCGGACGCGGGTTCCCCAACGGCCCGCCAACAGACCACCGATCTCCCCTCACCCACACCACGGAACACAATATCTTCTACGAGTTCCCCCTTTTCTCCAACTACCCCTCTTCCCTCAATTCCCTCATCTCCTCCAATTCTCCCCTCTCCTTCCTCACCCACCACCCCGTCAGGAAAATCTCTCCAGATCTCAATCTTCCCCCACCCCTTCCTCCCTCTCACTATCCTTGCCACCCTCCCTGCTTGCTCGGTTCCTGCAACCTCCATAACCAAAATCCTCGCTCCCACCCCCTCCGCCTTCTCCACAATCCTCCCATAAAATATATCCTCTAGCCTCCCTTTGTCTATTCTACCAATTCTATCCTCCTCCGGTACGAGAGCAAGCCGGGGCTCGAAGTTCCGCACAGATCGCTCTGTATCCCGATTAAACCCCAAGCGCGAGATATACGGCGGATTCGCAGTCACGACATCGAACCTCTCATCGCCGTACCATCCCTCGTCCCCACGCGCGCGGTGCGCTTCATCCAACAACGCGGCGCCAGAAGCCAGGACATCGCCGGAAGCGAAGCGCGCGTGCGCACTGGAGAGAGGGGGCGAGTTGTGCGTCGTGTTGAGGCGGGCCAGGGCGAGTGCCGTGGGGGAGATATCGATCCCTGTTACTGTTGTTTTGAGGGTAGGCGAGAGAAGAGAGAGGAGGAGGAGGGGGATGCAGCCTGTGCCGGTGCAGAGGTCGAGGATGCGGATTTGTTTTGGATCCGTGCGGAGGGACGGCGTGGAGAGTAGAATCGAGGAGAGGCGGTAGGTGTATTCTTCTGTTGCTTGTCTGGGGACTGTGTTAGTGTTGAGTGGGACAGAAAGAGGGGGTATCGTACCGTGGGATCAGAACGCCTTTTCTGCATAAGATGTCCAGGTCCCCGAATGGCTGCGAGCCCAGTATATACTGCAGCGGTACTCCTCGAGCCCGTTTCTTAACTAGGTTCACGATGCATCGCTGCCGCAATGGCGCAGGTACGTCCTTCTTCCTGCCGAACTTTGTTTCGAGTCTCGCATCGACATGTTGCCGTAGCCACCGCAGCTCGTTGTGCGCAGATGGCAGAGTCCGACACGTCCTCAGGAGAGGAGGCAGCAACGGATTGATCGTAAACGCATGTCGTAGGAGCCCATTGGAGAGACGCGGCATAGCCTTTTGATTTGGAGCTATGACAATACCATGGCCTTGAATGTTTCAATGGCCGTGACTGAGGTTCCGAATTTGTGAATCTATGGTTGACACACCGATCATGGCGAGGTCGCGCTTTTGTCGCGCCGCGCCGCTAAAGCCGTGTTACATCGGACTTATCGGTCTAAAATCTGATCTGATAAGATTTAATCCCCCCAGGTTTCCCATCATTACCAACTTCCACTTCAACAGCTCTACCAGTAGAACTTCCAATTCAATGTCTGTCCGGCCAATACTGCGGCCGTCATGGCGTGCACTATCGAAGTTCCCATCGAAACGCCTTATGAGTCGACATGCGCCGCCCTTCCCCACCATTCCCTCATGCCCCGCAGCGAATTGCACCTGTGCGCCCATGCCAGAATTCCCAGAGGGACTCGAAATCGACCATAGCAAACCATTGAATGGGACAATGGCACCATATGCTGAACAGCTCCTCGTCTGCACTGGGCAGCCAGACTGGGTCGGTCGCGTCGAGGAAGAAAGCGGCGGAGACAACCTCGTCGCTGATGTAAAAGAGCTCGTCGGCCGAGGGGGCATGTACTCCGACGTACGTCCACCTCCCCCCCCCAGCCCTTCCCAGAACCCCAGCTAACCAACCCTCCAGCCCTATCACAACACTCCGTTAACAAACTCCTCATTTCAACCCACGACACCACCACCATACCTCCGAGATGTCCCAACAACATCTGCGTACCTCCTCCCGTCATTCACATATGTCCCTCTCATCCCCCGCTCCTTTGACGCCGTCCAAGCCCTCGTTAAAGGCTACCTCCTCCCCACCAAGCTCAACCCTGCCCACGAGGTCCTATCGCCCATCCACCAAGACCGGCTGAAGCGGTCGGAGGCATACCAGGCGTTCCTGCCGCCTGCGCAGGAGGTCGAGGATGTCCTGGTCCTGATCTGCGGACATGGGGGACGCGATGCGAGGTGTGGCATCCTCGGGCCGGTACTGGTGAAGGAGTTTGAAGGGGCATTACCCAGAGCTGGGGTGGAGGTGCTGGTTGGTCCAGTGCCCCTGGCGACACCTTCGAAGCAACCCCGCGAAGCCATCACTGGGCCTGGTGTGTCTGAGGAGGGCGAGGAGCTAGGGATGAGCGCCAGAGTAGGGTTGATTAGCCATATTGGCGGGCACAAGTTCGCGGGGAACGTGATCCTATATATCCCGCCCTCGGCGAAGTTAAAGGGAGGAGATCCGCATCCGCTGAGGGGCATGGGTATTTGGTATGGAAGGGTTGAGCCGAAGCATGTGGAGGGTATTATAACTGAGACGCTAGGGGAGGGCAAGGTAATCATGGACTTGTTTAGAGGGGGGGTGGAGAAGGGGAAGGGCGTGTTGCGGTTGTAGATGTATTAAGAGGCAGTGTATATTGGGAAGGATAGATAGAATTGAAATTAGCCGCTGCATATATGGGAATGTAACATATTATAGACGATAAACTACATTTACTTGCAGCTCAAGCGTTATTCCCGACACTGCAAGGCTGGTGAGGCCGAAGTCTTCGAAAATAGACATATCACATGGGCACCAAACATATCACAAACGTTTTATCCTCTTTAACTTCCCATTTTGAGTTCCAAGGCATATCGGCCCGTCCCGAATCATGCTCCTGTACCCCCTAATAGCCTAACATAAAAACTATTTATGTGCCATTCACCGAGAAAATCGTTCCCAGGCACCACTCTACCCAACAGCCCACAACCCGGCCTGTCAATCCATCATCATCACCCATCATTCATCCCACCAAATAAAAATCTCCGCGCACACGCTCGCTCAAATTGATAGCTGCCTTTTCAATAACCCGCCACCGCTCAGGCAAAGCGTCCAATAAGCGTCGCGTTGACAGAAATTTAAAACTCTATCCATGGTGGCCCTCTCCATATCCCGCCCCAACGGCGTCGCAGAGTAGTGATTGCAAGCTAGGCGTACAAAGCCAATGTCCCCAAGCACCAGTGGGAAAAAGTGTGTATGTTCGAAACCAACTAGATGATATGTGCGGACCCGCCTTGAGATATTGTAATAGCTTGTTGTTAAACCCCCCTCCAAAAAGGGTACCATACATTCTTTCATATTGATACTCTTGCCTCGATGCTCATTATCCCGGTCGTCGTCTATTTCGCATGCTTCTTGAAGGCAAGGAGCTCAGCAAGACTGCTTAGTCCGCAGCCATGCTTCAGGAAATCGTGCTTGAGGAGCTCATCTGCGCTGGCTCTGCTGCGGATGTCGACGCAGAGACAGACGGACAAGAAGGCCTTGAGTTCTTTGCTTAACTTCTCCGGCTTCTTGAGGCGAGGCGTTCCGTTGGTAGCGATGAGGTACAACGCCTTCAGCGGCTCTTCGTTGAGGTACGGCGGCTCAGACTCAATCATTTCGATGGCCATGATACCTAGCGACCAGATGTCGACCTTGGGGCCGTATTCCTTTTGCTTCACAACTTCAGGCGCCATCCAGTACGGAGTTCCAACCATGGTAGCGCGCTTCGACTTGGTCTCCGTGAGCTTCGCGCAGAAACCGAAATCGGTGATCTTGACGTTTCCTCGCGCATCCAAGAGGACGTTGTCACTTTTGATGTCACGATGGATGATACTCTGTTGATGTAAATGCTCCAAACCACGGCAAGTCTGCAAATATCGTTAGTTGAATCGAAGCCAAGAGCATCTTCTCCACATACCTCTAAACAAATAGTTGAAATCTGGTCTTCGGTGATGACAGGGTTGTTGTCAATGACATCCGTCAAGGCACCACCCTCCATGAACTCCATGACGACCCATAGCTCCGTGAAATTGTTTCGCAAAAATGCATCGAGGAAGTTAACAATGTTTCTGTGCCTGCTGTCCTTCATTACCATAATCTCATTGACGATAAGCTCCTTCCTTGGTTGGTGTGCCAGATCCATCTGCTTGATCGCGACTTGCGCCTTGGGTCCCTGGTCGCGCAGCACCTGGCGTGCAATTGGCGAAACAGCATTCTCCTTGACCTTGGCAACGTAGACGGATCCAGAGGCACCCTGTCCAATCTTCTTCTGCTTCGCGTACGAGAGTCCTGGGTCATCTTTGGAGACGACTTCCTTTAGCTTGATCATAACATCGGCCTCTGACATGGTCGACATCCGCACGTCGTTCTTGCGGGGCGTTAGAGGCTTGGAAGTGAGCGCAGCTTCCGCGGCCTTGACACCATCACTCTGAGCAGGGACCTGCGCGCTTGGTGCGGTCTTCTGGACGTTGAGGGGCTTCGGTTGCGATACAGCAGGCTGCTGCATGCGGCTTGTCTGCTGCTGGGCCTGGCCATTGGGCTGTGTGCGGAGAGTTTGTGACTGTGGTTGTCCGCCGTTCTGGTATCTCGGGCTCTCGCTCCTCTGCGAGCTTGCCTCGGATCTAGGTGAGGCGCGGCCGTTCTGATCTCTCTCTCTGCTCTGCTGGACATCTCGTGGTATAGATGATGAGCTTTGTTGCTGGCCGCCTATGCCCGGACGAGGACCACTTGCTGATGTTGGCGCGGGAGGTGCTTGTCTCTGGTTTGTCCGAAAGGAGCCGTTTGCCTGGGGAGCTCGCGAAACACCAGGAGCAGGTGGAGCTGCACGCGTTGGGTTGTATTTCTCGGTGCCGCCTGGGCTGCTATAGCCGCCTCCACCGATTTCTTGCTGGGCCATTGGCGTTCTCGTCTTTGGTAGCGAGGCATTGTACTCGGCCACTTCTCTCCGTTCGCGCTCTTCGTCCTCACGACGCTCACGATCGCGCTGGTGCTGTATCTCATTTTGGCGCAGATCTTCGCGGCTGGATGCCTGTGGCTTGAAGTGAGACGCCATCTGTCGCATCTGCTCAAGCTGCTGTTGCTGGCTTCCGGAAACTGGCGCCATATTCGATGGGCTGCCATTGCTGCCACTGCGCTGGCTACTGCTTGGGCTCTGTCGTGGAGGCGCAACCGATGACCCAGAGCTGGAGTACCCCAACTGTTTATGCTGCTGGTTTGCGAGAGCTGGCGGCGTTGGTGTCAAGCTGGGATATTTCTCTGGGTTTTCGTTGCGCTTAGTGATGTCAGAGTAAAATTCAAGGACCTCGAACACGGCCTGCGGATCTCTCTCGTAGTCCTCCTTTGTGATCGCAGAAGAGTTGAGAAGCTTGGACCACTCGGGGGGAAGGCCGACAAACTTTCCGGTGGTGTTGTCGAATCCAACGTGCACCGCATGGGAGAAATTAGTAGGATTGCTCACTCCACCCATTCCTGGGCAGCGAGCATATATGAAATCAATCCACTGGTATAAATCGTCGTCGCTCTTCACCTTTATCTGCAATGTCCTTACACCGTCGTTGTCGTCTCCAGGATTAGTCGAGGCTCCATCTGAATATCTCTTGACTTCGAATATTATCCCCGTAGCTTCCACGCGCGAGACACCCACAACATCCTTCAGAACTATCGAGTATGACACCTTCCCACCGTCTTGTTTGTGAAAGTCCAACGCCTCTTTTCGTAGGACTAGGTACTTTTGTCGCCAGGGGTTTATGAACTTTCCATCCTTGACGGTGGCCCAGCCCTCCTTGATCACAGAAACTCCACCCTGTCCACTTTGTCCGTCCTGGGAGGGATTGGTATTCTGTCGGGCCAGTGGTAGCGACACTGTTGACCCCGAGTAGGTCGATGTGGCTGTTCTCGTGATTGGGGATGCGATGCTCAGGGAAGACATGTTGCCGGGGAGGTTGACAGTCGCAGGAGTGAGGTTGAGACGAGGTCTGTCTGTGGGAGGTCGAGGAGCTGGACCTGGATTCATAAATTGGCCTGGCGCGTAGCCACCGCTGTCGTTTGTCAGCTTTTATTGCTACTTCTGAGGGTTGCACGGTGTCGATCGGGTGAAGTGAACACAACGTCGGATTGTCACAGTGGGTCTCAGAGAGCACGTCGACGAGTCGACATGATGGTAAAGAAACTTCAGACATGTACTCACATTGGTGCGCCAGTCGGGCTCGGCATCGTGGATAGTTTAGATCTTTGGGCGTAGTCCAGGGGTCTTTGCGATGAAGTGAGGGTATCGTGTTGTGGTAGTGGTATCTATCCCCCCTATCGTGGCGGGGTAGAGCAAGAGTTGATCGCCGACAACGTGTCTGTATTGTGGTAGGAACATTAGAAGAGAGAACAATATATGACAGATGGTAGAGCAGGACACGACTTACATTTTTGATCGAATCGCAAATAGAATACCGGGTTGTTTAGGGGAAGGCGAAGGCGTAGGTTGTGTCTCAAGGCTGCGTTCGAGGATGGTTTCGAGTAACGCTACACCGTCTCGCTTATACGCTTATCCCACGTCGGCGTTTGTGACGGTGAATGGCTGGGACGATTAAGATTGTTTCGTCTGATGGTTATCGGCGGTATTGAAGTATATTTTGAGGTTTTGATACTGAGGAGAGCCTTGAGAAGTAAGAGATCTTATAACAAGGCCTCTTTTTTTTTGTTGATGTTAGTTGTCGAGAGTCAAACTTTGACATAAGTTACAGTGCATCGCAGTACATACAATCGATGTTGGTGGTGAGACGCCCACACTAATTAGCACTAATTAGCACTAATTAGCTAGAGTTCCCAGGTTGTCAGAGGACCAGCGGTATGTGAGCGATCAACAAGGAGATGGAAGGATCCAGCCTTGCCTATTGGATGTTGGATACTACAATTTAGACTGGTGAATGTTGGGTTACTAACAAAGCAGCAGGCAAACCAACCAACATGAAGACGGCGTATAAAGAGAGGCTGGGGATCTGTTTCGTTTGACGACGACGACGACGACGACGACGACGACGACAACAACAACAACAACAACAACAACAACAACAACAACAAACAACAATAACAACAACAAGCTGGGTTCCTATAATCTCTCTTAGCAGCGCATCGCTGTGGATTATCGCTCATTTGATTGGCCTCTTCTCCACTTCAGATCTAAACTACAGTATCTTTGACAGGAGAGTACAACCCCAGAATCTCCCACACAGCCCCCCAAGCTCCTCTCCACCGACCCGCCGAGGGCAGTATGTGGCGGCATCCCTGATTGAGCATCCCATATCAACCACTTCGTATGGTCCCGCACCGCACCGCGCACGGCGGAGTACCTGCCTGCTGGGGGTTGGACGCGGAGAGGACCCATCGTCCAGCCGAGATGGACCCTTTAACGGTTTCACCATGCGCAAACCTCCCTCCTTCATCCCTCCCCTCCCCTCCCCTCCCCTCCCCTCTTCCCCCTGGCAAGAGTGGGCGGCTGGCTGCAGTGTATCCACAAGGGAGCAAGCGACACCCAACCGAAACGGGTTTCTCGGCTTGTGTCACCGCCGAAAGGCGCCCTTGCTATTTTAAAAACACGTGCGATGCCTAGTCGGAAAACTGTGCAGCGGGTGGTGGTCGTGGGGTAATGAGTTACACGGTCAGTATCGGCGTCGCGAGATCACGAGTAGATAGTTGAGGTTTGTCCACTCCAGTTCTGAAAGTTCATTTATATGACCTGTTTAAACTTGAAACCCCGCTACTATAAAGATGACAGCGGCCGCTAGTAAACAAACTCTACTGGCTCGTATCTGAACCACCCAGTCCGTTCCAAGACAAATCATTCACAAGAATGCATATTGAATACCAAGAGCTGACTTTTGATTCTGCACTATCTACCTGAGCGAGCTATCCACAACGTGACAAAGCCAGCACCTAAGGGGGGGGCCTACCGGACAGGAATAGCCACCTCGGCATCCTGACCCTCAAAGGCAGGCAGCTCCTTCTCCACATCCTTCCACTCCTTCTCGCCATTGACCACCTCCTGAATCGCCTTGATAATCGTTGCCTCGTCCGCCCTAACCTGCTTCGTCGAGTCACGATCCCTCAGCGTGAACGTCTTATCCTGCACGCTCTGGAAATCAACTGTGATGCCCAGCGGGGTGCCGAGCTCGTCGTTGCGGCTGTAGCGTCGCCCGATGGACGCCGACGAGTCGTCGATGCGGTTGGAGATGCCCATGGCGCGAAGCTTGTGCGAAAGGTGCTTGATGATCGGCTTGAAGGACTCGTGGCCGGAGAGGGGCACGAGGAGGACCTTGGTGGGCGCGATGGGAGGTGGGAATGAGAGAACACCGCGGGACTCGTCGTTGCCCTCGGTGGCGCGGGTCCAGTAGTTGTGTTCGAGCAGGGAGTAAAGGATGCGTCCAATACCGAAGGAAGGCTCGATGACATTGGGCGTGTACTCTCTTGTGTGCTCGGTGCGGGTGCGCTTCTCGATGACCAAGAGATCCTTTGAGATCTCGACGGTGCCGCTGCCGACACCTGGTACTTCAATGGCGATCTTGCCGTTCTGGATAAGATCCTTGGCCAGTGACTCGCGCTGTTCTTGCGTAGTGGCGGCAATGGCGGCCTCGACGGCCTTGCCGTCCTTCTTGAAGAAGGGGCCAAACTTTTTCTTGTCAACCTCGGCAGCGAACTCCTCGATAACGAGGGGCTCGGCACGAGTTTCACGCACGACTAGAGGAATACCAGTCTTCTTGGAGTGGACAGTGAGATCGTATGCGCTTCTATCAGCGCAGCCTACACACTCCACCCAGCCGTAGCTGGTGAGCAGCTCGGCATCCCAGCAGTCGGTCGCATAATGCGCCATCTCATTCGCCATGTGCTGGCGGAACCTGATTTTCGTTTGGTCAACGCCAAGCTTCTTCAAGAAAAGCTGGACACGGGCCAAGAAGTAACCGAGAGTCTCGTTGTCGACGATGCCATCAGCGACGGCCTTGCCAATAGCCACAGTCTCGACATTAGTCTTGCCAGACAATTGGGTGTTCCTGTTGAGAAGGACAAGCTCAACACCCTTAACTTCGGCGAAACGAGAATGCTTCTTGCCGCCGAGAGGATCGACGTAATGCTCGATTTCAGCCATCAGGAACTCGCGGACACGGAGCAGACCAGCGCGTGGGGATATCTCGTTTCTGAACGATTTGCCGATGGACGCAGAAGCAAAGGGCATCTGCTGCTGGTTGAACTCGAGGAGCTTGGCGAAGTTGAGGAACTGGCCCTGCGCAGTTTCTGGGCGGAGGAAGCCAGGGGCATTAGAGCTGGGGCCGATGCTGGTCTGGAACATGAGGTTGAATGCCACTGGTGGCTCGGGCATAACGCCGGTATTAGGGTTCTTCATCTCGTATCTAATAATGAGCTCGCCGAGTTCCTCGCCATCGTAGTTGTCAATCTGTGCAGTGTCAGCGAATGTTTGCTTCAATTTTGTTGTAGCTATACCTTTGCCAAGATCTCCTCGTACTCCTGAATAACGGCATCATCAAGTTTGATGGCCTTAGTCTCCTTGACCTTGCGCTTCTTCTTCGAAGGATCTACCTCCTTCTCTTCGATCTGCTGGCCTCTCGCTTCTAGGTTGCCCTTTAATCTCTGGTTTAGGATCTCCTCGACGAAGTGGTCGGCGCGGATAATCTCGCCGTTCTTTGGATCCTTGCACATCCAGTCGGAGAACTTGTCAACGTGGCCGGATGTCTTGAGAACCTCGTGGGGAGTAAGTGCCGTGCAATCCAGCTCCATCATATCCTCCTCCAACACGAAGTGCTTTCGCCATAGCTCGATCATGTTGGTAAGCAGCGCGCAGCCTGGTGGGCCATAATCGTAGAGGCCAGCAACACCGCCGTATAGATCGAAGGAGGGGGTGTAGAACATGCGCCGACGGAGCAGCGAATCGAGAACTGGGCGATCGAGGGGCTGGCCCTTTAGCGTAGTAGCCGTCGCCATGCCAGGCTGAACGTGCTTTGACCTTGGTACTCTGTACCGACCGGTTGTTCGATTTGTTGTTGTAAAGCTTCTAAGCCCTACAAGTGGGGTAAGTGTTTGTTTGCTGGCTGGAACAAATCTACACAAGATGCGCATGAAGTATGTGGACAGACGGAAGAGGAAAAATCAAAACAAAACAAAACAAAGGCAGTAGCGAACGGGGGCCTCTTATCAACTCAGCGTACGTACTGATTGATTGAAAATGTATGGTTCGGTGCGACTCTCTGTGAGTCTTTTGATCCCCAAGAATTGTCTGGTCATTTAGCCGGCGGTTTTGTTTTTCCGCTCCGTCAAAATTTCTGGACCAAACTCAAAATATGTGCGGCCTTCTCACACCGAAGATCGAAAACATACCCCGCAGCTCAACATGGTAGCAAAACGCCAAAAGCCGCTGTCCTCGAAGGCGGCATTGCCGTTTGTGACGGGCAACAAGTTCAAGCGTCAAGATCTGCATGTCAAGCAAAAGAAGGCAAGGGACAGCCTTCGCCGCGATGAGAGGTTCAAGCGCAAGAGGGTGGAGGACAAAGATCCCGAGCTGAGGAGGGAGCGATTGGCTCGCAATGTGCCAATGACAATCGATATGAAGCGTGTTTGGGATGAAGAGGATGGCAATGGACTGAATATCTCCGTGGACGTTGAGCAATTGAGGAGGAGGCGGCTGGAAGCAGCAGAGGCAGGAGACGCAATGGACGAGGATTTGCCTGAGCAAGCCGCTGAGGACGACGTGGATTCTATGCTGGGGTCGGATGAGGAAATGGACGATGAGGAGGATACGGAGCACTCTGCACGTCGTCAAAGGGATGCGTCAAGCGCACCTTCTCTCGCCGCCTCGACCACGAGCACAAACCTCGACCTCACACCTGAGAGTCTGGCTCTGAAGTTTCCGACTCTCTTCACCGATGAGCCTCCGCCAGCACCCAAGGTCCTCCTCACAACCTCCCTCAACTCGACCCTCCACAACGAAGCGCACCTGCTGTGCACCCTCTTCCCGAACTCGACCTACATTCCTCGTTCCGCCCATCGCTACGGACACAAGTTCTCCGTCCGCGAAATCGCCAAGTTCGCCACGAACAGGGAATACACCGCTCTTATTGTTGTGAAGGAGGATGCCAAGAAGCCGACTGGGCTTTCTATCGTGCACCTTCCCCACGGTCCAACGTGCCACTTCAGCATCGCAAACTGGGTCGAGGGCAAGAAGCTGCCAGGTCATGGCAACCCCACGAACCACTACCCCGAGCTGATCCTCAATAACTTCCGCACGCCGCTGGGTCTGTTGACGGCGCGCTTGTTCCTGACGCTGTTTCCACCACAGCCCGAGCTGCAGGGCCGCCAGGTCGTGACGCTGCATAACCAGCGCGATTACATCTTCGTGCGACGCCACCGATACGTGTTCCGTGACAAGCGGCCGACCGAGAAGAGCGTCGTCGGGCCGGATGGAGAGAAGGTGAAGGGCGTGGAGGAGATCAGGGCAGGGCTGCAGGAGCTGGGGCCGCGGTTTACACTGAAGCTTAGGCGGGTTGATAAGGGGATTGGACGGGCGGGGAGTCAGGGCGATGATGGGCTACAGTGGGAATGGAAGGCGCATATGGAGAAGAAGCGTACGAGGTTCAATTTATGAGCTGGGATTAGGTTGGGTTGGCGTTGGGGATTTGAGGGGGGATACCTTGGCATAGTTAAGCGTAGTGTATATATCGTAAGTTCAATTCTATGGCCTGTGATTAAAAGAACGGGTTCTATGAGATATAATCGTGCGGCTACACCTCCCGTAAGAGTTCTCGCGGGATGTAGCCACACGATTGATGTGAGAATCTAGCCACCCAAGGAAGGGGATGATATTTACTAAGACAACACACTGTCTTAGGAAACAGAGCCAAAGGGTTGTAGCTTAGACTATTCCACAACGCAGCAATCAAATGTATGATGTAGTGGAGTGGTTTAGACAAGTTGTACAAATGTTGAGTCTGAGAACTCAGGGATAAGGGATAAGTCAGAGGTTAACACCTCACTGACTTTTCAGAAACAAGGAGTAACAAGATCAATGCTTGGAAGCTTGGAAAAGACGTGGAAGTATGTGATAGTTGATTTTCTGTATTGTCTGCTTGCCCTTTCTTAAGGAAAGGGCAATCCTATTTATGCTAAAGGAGTGTAGTTCTCTCATTTTCCAAGACTTTCCATGACTAACCAGGCTTGGTAACTGTAGTCGACGTAAGAGAATCCCATAGAACCATCTCCTAGGTTCCTAGCCTATAGGAAGTGAAAAAGAGGTCCAAGGTCAGAGTACCTATAGACAAATTATGTCATAACTTAACCAATCTTGTGGGTAACTCAGGAGCGTTGACGTGTAATGAATCATAGAGGGTTGTAGAAGCTTCTAGAGCTATCGTTCATGTTCCTAGGCCTCTAGTTGGTAGAGATATGCCATGTGGTAGTATTGGCCCACCCCCTTAAGGAGGAGATTTTCTTAATAACTTGTTCAATGAGTGTCCAAATGATATGCCATGATGTATGTAGCATAAACAGATGTAGTAGAAGAGTTTGCAGCAATCGTTGAGTAGTATTGCTCTTGTTGTTGGTGTGATAAGCCAAGATATGTATGGTGACTTGTAGGTTTGAGGAGGAGATTTCTAAGTTTGCTCTTGAGTTTGATAGCAAACTGAGTGCAACGAATGTCAGTATGACACAGTTGAGACTTTTGGATTTTCTCAAGAATTGTCATTTCTCTGATATGAGTTTCCACTGGAGCTAGCTGAGATGATTGGCCTTGTTCTTTGAGTTTCTGAATGTCTGGATGTAGCCTCGAAGGTGGTAGCAACACCTGAAGCTGTTGCTTTTGTCGATCATCCTCATCATTGCCTTCTGGTCTGTCACCAGGCCTTTGAGTCAAAGCATCTGCTTTTCCATTTTGCTTCCCAGGCCTATAGATGATCTGGAAGTTGTATCGAGAGAGGAATTCAGCCCATCGAGCTTGTCTTCTTCTCAGCTTGTCTTCTTGTCAGCTTCTTGGTGGACATGAAGTATTCCAAGCTTTTGTGATCAGAAAAGACTTGGACTGGAAAATCTGTCCCTTCAAGTTCTGGTCTCCATGCTTCGAAACATCTGATGATTGCAAGCAATTCCTTGTCATATATCTCGTAATTGCATTCTGCAGGTGCTAGCTTTTTCGAGAAGTATGCCACTGGATGTAGAACCCCTTGATCATCTTTTTGTGACAAGACTCCTGATGAGATGAAGTCTGAGGAATCTGCTTCGACATAGGCTGTCTTGTTTCTATCAAAATGCCTCAAGACAGGAGCTTCTGTGACTGTTTGTTTCAACAGCTCGAATGCAGTTTGGCATGCATGAGTCCATTCGAATATCTGATCCTTTCTGGTAAGGTTCACCAATGGCCTCATGATGCTGGAGTAATTTCAGATGAACCTACGATAGAAATTGCAGAATCCAATGAAAGCTTGCATATCCCTGAGCGATTTTGGAGTTCGCCATTCCAGTATAGTAGAAACCTTTGCAGGGTCCATGCGAATGCCATTGACTCCCACGATGAGTCCTAGGAATTTGGTTTCTTGGACGAAAAACTCACATTTTGAGATATCTGCTTGCAGTCCAGCTTCTCGAAGCTTCTGTAGGACTTTCCTTATGTGCTCTGTATGCTCCGCTCGAGTAGCACTGTAGATAAGAATGTCATCCATGTATGCGGCGAATTGGTTGAGGTAATCCATGAGGGTTTCATTCATGTACCTCTGGAATGTTGCTGGACCATTTGTGAGTCCGAAGGGCATGACCTTGTATTTGTAGGATCCAAATCGAGTTCTGAATGTAGTGAGGTCTTCATCTTCTTCTGTCTGCATTCGAATTCGATTGAAGGCATGTCGAATGTCCAGTTTGGTGAGATATTTTGCTCCTATGACTTGGGCCAGCGTTTCATCAATGAGTGGTATGGGATATCGATCCTTTTTCGTTATGGCATTTAGCTTCCTGTAGTCAACACAGAATCGAAGACCACCACCTGGCTTTCTCACAAACATAATGGGTGAAGAGTATGGGGCTTTGCTTGCTTCAATGAACCCTTTTCGCAAGTGCTCGAAGACATATTCTTCGACCAAATCAAGTTCTTCCTTTGACATATTCCAGAGTGGTGCATATCCCAGCTTTGCATCACCTTCGAGTTCAATATGATGGTCTGAAGGTCGATGGGGAGGTAGCTTGTCTGCTGCCATTTTTGAAAAAACATCCAAAAATTCATGAAATTCCTTCGGAAGGATCAGTCGAGAGTCAATTTCTTCAGTTTTGGTCTTGTTCTTGTGCTCGATTATGTCCTTCATTGATATAGCAAAGACTTGAGCTCCTCTTTGCTTCATGAGCATTTGAAATGGTGCTGCGCCAATCATTGCTATGGTGCAAGGTTTTGGTTTTTCCACTTTCGGAGCAGGTTCCGGAGGAGGCATTTCTTTGGCTTTCATCTTTGGCCTTTGTCTTTTGCTTTTAGATATAGGCTCTGTTTCGAGGGCTCGATCTGGTATAGAATGGTTGCAATAATCTCCAGTGAAGAGGACTTGATCATTGATCATATCAAGAACAACTCCATGTTGCTTCATCCAAGCTTTCCCGAGAATGATGGAATGTTTTCCCAGCGAAGTGATGAACATAGGCTTTCCACATGCTCTCCCACTAGTAGTTGAGGATATATAGCATGTGTGATAGCAGGGGCAGCCTCTCCATTGAATCCTTGAACTTGTTTTGGCTTCACAAGTTCGTGGGCTATCCCTTCCATTTCACATATTCTTTCTGCATCAGCAGCATTAATGAAGTTTCCACCTGTGGCACCAGTATCGATCAATGCATGGACAATAGCTTTGTATTTTCCTATTCTACAAGTAGCTAAGAAAGGGGTGTCCGGATCAAAACTGGATCTCGAGGAAGAAGCTGCAATTCTGGCTGCACTGCCTCTAGTGATGACTTGTCTAGAGGCTATTCGTTTTCCGAATCGATGATAGACTCAGCTGTAGATACCTCATTCACTTGAGCTTTGAGCTTCTGGGGACAGTCTCGAGCTCGATGTCCATTTTGTCGGCATATGAAGCATTTCCCAAGTTTCATGAGCATTTCTTTTGCTGGATCTTGATGCGGTGGTCGATACAGCTTCTGCGTCTTGTTTTGCATGTTTGAATCCATTGTAGGTTGAGGGATTGAAGTTCGAAGTGCCTGGCCCTGATTTTGAGTTTGGCCCATGTTGTTCGAAAATGACTTTGGCTTCCTTTTGTCTTCTTGTTCCTTGATCTGCTGAATGTTCTGGTCGATGAGCATGCATTTCTTTGCAAACTCGAGAAGTGTAGTAGCTCCAACTTCAGCCACTAAGGCTTTCTGCATCTGTTGGTTGACTTTGAAGCGCAAGTCATCCAGCAAAGTTTCTTCAGAGTAATCAAGATCTGTCGTGAGCCTTTGGAACTCAGCCCAGAACACTGCAAAGGTGTTGTTTCTCTGATACAGCTTTCGATACTCAGTTTGAGCTGTGTGCCTTCGATCGGGATCACTGAAGACTTTTTCCAAAAGTTCGAGAATTTCTTCTGCTGTCTGCAATTTGTTTGTAGAGTTTGGTCGAAGCCTTGGATTGACACGTGAAAACTGCCACTCCTCCCAGTCGACTGTGAATGTAGCTCATTTGTAAAGTCTGTGTTGGAAAATGATCAATGTTGGCTTCGAGCTTGAGGCGAATTTTCACAACCCAGTCTTCAAATGCTGGCTCTATCCCATCTGTGAGGATTGGAGGGTCTGGAATCCGAGCTGACAGTCGACTGTGAGAGTGGTGTCCTGGTTCATTCTTCAGAGCTTGTTGGGTTTGCTTTTCAAGATATTTCTGAATTGTTTGTTGCTCTGTGATTTGTTGCTCGTTGCTCTGGATCAGTTCCTGTAACTGGAGAATGGCATCATCCTTTTCAGCCAGTATCGAATTTGAGTCCTCTGCTAGGGCCAAATAGTCCCGAAGAATGTTCTTGTGCAAAGTCCATGCCATTTTCTGGTTGGCGACAGATAGTTTCTGGAATTCGTCAAAGGTTTCAACATTCCATTCAGCCTTTTCATGTCGATTTGCAAGTATAGATTCATGTCTCTCTTGAGCTGTTTTGCCCAGAGTGTGAAGGAAGGTTTAGGATTTGAAATTAGGATCATGAAGTTCATTGGTTTGGTTGCAGAGCTTGGAATTGGTGCTCCTTCTGCCAGGGATTCCTGGTCTTGTTCTGGATCATTTCGAGCTGCCATTGCAGCTTTTTCTTCAGCTGTATAAGCCATAGCGAGTTGCTATTTCAATTTCAGTTTATATCGTCAAGTCAGACACATATTGCCAAAGGCCCTATTGTGCAGTTGTTGGCCGTAGGAGCCACTCGAGAGGAGCGCACTTCCCTCACAGTTATATCCTTGTCGAGGGAGCGTTGTAAAAGGTCTGACTTGCGAAGGTGGTGTGTGTGTGTCGAGCTGACTGTCGAAAGCCAACTTTGAGGGGTTGCCTCGAGATCGTCCTGGAATTGACTTCAGGATAAGGTTTCTGGTTCTGGGGTTTTCAAAGAGTGGATTTCGATTTCGATTTCAGAAGAGGGTTCAGCTCAAAGAGCAGGAAAAGAGGTATAAGAGAGATTGAGTTTTATGTTACGGTTCACCAAGGCATAGGGCGCCAGTTGGGTATTATGAGTTAAACTCAATCTAGAGAAGAAAGGAAAGAGAAGA